CTCCTCACAATGTGGGGCAGCCACATGGGGACACCACAGGTGGAGAGGCCCTTCAAAATGCACAAAACGGTTACAAGTGCACTCGTGAGAAAGCCTTCAGCCATAAATATAAACTTGTAGACCATGAGAATGTCCACACTGGAGAAAAGCTTTATGAGTGTAGGGAATGTGGGGAGGCCTTCCTTAGAAACTCCTACTTGACCCGCACCAGAAAGTCCACAGTGAAGCCAGGCTTTCTGCACTGTGGTGTATTCTTTATACAGATATCGGGCCTCAGTGACCACCAGAGAATTTATATCAGGCCGAGGCCTTTTGAGTGCAGCCAGTGTGGGAAGACCTTCCTTAGACTGTCCTAACTCATTGCTCACAGAAAGTCCACTCTGGAGAAAGATCTTATGGTTGCAGTGAGTGTGAGAAATTCTTTAGGAACCATTCCACATCAGAGAGTTCACACTGGACAGAGACTTCACATGTGCAGTGAATGTGGGAAAGCCTTCAGCCACAAACATAAACTTATCGAGCACCAGAAAATCCACAGTGGCGAGAAGCCTTACAAGTGCAAAGAATGTGAGAAGGCTTTCAGCCACAAAGACAAAGTTATTGGGCACCAGAAAATACACACTGGAGAAAGGCCTTACGTATGCAGCGAGTGTGAGAAAGCCTTCAGCCGCAAACATAAACTTGTCAAGCACCAGAAGTTCTACAGTGGAGAAAGGGCTTATGAGTGCAGTGGATGTGGAAGATCCTTTCTGGATGACTCCACAATCATTATTCATCAGAGAGTTCACACCAGAGAAAGGCCTTATGAGTGCAGTGAGTGTGGGAAGTACTTTAGGCACCGCTTCACCCTCATTAGACACCAGAAAATTCACACTGGAGAAAGGCCCTATAAGGGCAGCGATATAGGAAATTGTTTAGTTGCTGCTTCACTCTCATTAGATGTTGGACAAATCACACCACAGAGAGACCTTATGAGCGCAGCTAATGTGGGAAGTTTTTGTGGTACAACTGCAGACTCATTACACACCAATGAGTTCACACTATTATGAGGCCTTATGAGAACAGCAGATATGGGAATGTCTTTACATAGAACTCTGACCTCAGTAAACATTGTTGAGGTTGCACTGGAAAAATGCTTTCTGAGTGCAGTGAATGTTGGAGAGTCTTTAGCCAATACTCCCATTCATTTGGCTCCAAAAAGTTCACACCAGAGAAAGAACTTACAAGTGCAGCAGATAGGGAAAAGACTTCAGCCAAAGTCTGCTCTGATTGGGAAAAGACTTCAGCCAAAGTCTGCTGATTGGCACTATACACTATAAAGTTCTATTATGTATTATGGATTTTGTTTTTCTTTTTATTGTGTTAAAATACACATACATAAAATTTGCCATCTTAAGTATTTTAGTGTACAGTTCAGTATTGTTAAGTACATTCACATTCTGTGCAGTGAATATCCAGCACTTTCTTCATCTTGCATAAGTGAACTGTGTCCATTAAACAACATCAATTCCTCTCTTCCTCCAGCCCCTGGCAACCTCCATGCTACTCNTATTCTTTTAAATATGTACACACAGATAGGCAATTAGAAATGGACACATTTAATAAATTAAACGTGGCAACACTTTATAAAAATTGACTGAAACGTTAATTTACATGTAGTATTTGCTAACAATAGAATGTTATATGTTGTATCCTCTGAAAACCATAAAAGCAGAATGCAAACCCTATTTTCAAAACCCTATCCTTTTATTTACACTGAAAACATAAAAAATTGTTAATCCCATGGATAGTCGTTATAGCTGACAGGTAATGTGTGCTCTTTATGTTTAACACTTATCCCCATTTTACAGTAAAGGAATTGAGGCTCAGGGAGGGTCAGTGTTACGCATAGGCACACAGCTGGTCAGAGTGGCACTGAGGTCAGACGAACTGAGCAGGGCAGGGCAGGGGTGGGCTCTCTGCCCCTGCTTGGACTCACCAGTGTTTGGTGGTCACTCTTGGTGAAGCCTTTCTTGTTTCATTCAGGCTGGTAGATAAGTTTAGGTGAAAAAGGAGAGCTAGGAGAATTGCTAGGCCTGGAGAAGGGGCAGAGGGCTTGGTGTAGCTGGGTTTTGAATGAGGGTCAGGTAAAGAGAGGCTGTTCACGACTGCTTGTGAGACAGCATGTGCAGTGAAGACAGTGGTGGGCCAAGAGTCTGTGGGGTCTGCACCTTAGCTTTGGGAGGGCAAGTGTGACACAGGTGGCAGGGCCAGATGGGGAGAACTATAAAGGGACCCTCATGCTCTCTGGCACTATAGATCTTGGGCATTCTGCGACAGGATGGGGCAAAACAGGACTGTAATTCCATTTACAAAATACTGCCTGCCTGGATTCCATGTGCACCAGTGGCATGGAGGCCACGGAAATGCCTATAGATAGGCAGGCGGGTGAGTATCAGTAACTGAGTTGTGAAAGTGGAGGGACCACAAGATATGTAGAAAGGTTGAGTTCAGGAATGATCTGCGGTGTTTACCCCTAGGCCCTGACACCACTGGACACAAGGGAGAAAGATGAGTTCAAGTTTTGTTGTCTGGGAGGCAATATCTGGGGGATCTAAAGATGATTTAGTGATAAAAGAGGAGTAGAGCCCCGATTCCAGCCCCAGAGTTTAGATGATGCTTATCTGTGCCCTCCCCCACTTGTTTCTACTGTGTCCTGGACACAGTGATCAGTGGAGACAAGGAGAGAGCAGGCACTGGTGCCACCAGCACCTGGTATCTCTTCCTCATTTGGAAGTTAGGGTGGAGGATGAGGGGATGAAGGTGTTTATGTGTCAGGGAAGACTGCAGATCCTGAAGGAGAGAGAAGCTGCACATTGATTGACTTGTCCCCATTTTGGCAGGGGCATGTGGTTTTTACAGACGTGGTCATACATTTCTCCCAGAGGAGTGGGAGTTCCTTGAGGAGGCTCAGAGATGGCTGTACCACCATGTGATGCTGGAGAACTTTGCACTTTTGTCATCACTAGGTAAGGCCATCACACCTACCCCAGGGTCCTGGTCTAGGCTCTGTTTTCCCCCTTTTCAGGGGCAGCTCTGTTCTTCCCACAACGGGACTCTGATGGGCCCTACTTCCTTTCCTGACCTGTGTGTTGGTGCCAGGGCCAGGCTGTGTGCACTGTACTCACTGCCCCCAAGCAGCCTGTCCCTGCTGCTCTGAGTACCTGCAAGATGGCTCAGGAGTCAGAAATCTTGAATCTTGTCTGATACCTGCCCTCAGACCTGCCTGTCCCTGCTTGGGTCATTCAGCCTAGATGCTAGAACCTCAGTGCCCCAGGCCTTCCGCCTTCCTCTTGCTGACATTTCCTGAAGTCTTACTGTGTCACAAATTTTAGGCACCAATGTTGTCACTAGTTGTAGATACCACTGTTTCTGCAAGACCCTTCTGGGAAGTATTTGTGATTTTAGAATGTGGGGTGTCATGTGTTGGCTTGCTCTGGGGACATGCTGTCCACTCCCTTTCCCTGTGTCACATTTGGTTGGTCTGTTCCGGGTCCCAAGTAGGTGCTCACCCTGAGGGAGAGGGACCTGGCTGCCTGACAGTGTACACATCACTCCAATGGCAACAGGAAATGGCCCTTGTGCTTCAGAGCTAGGAAAGGGTGTGTGGTCAGAGCTGGGTTCAAATCATAGTGGGAACCCGGCCTGTGCCCATCATTGCTTGATGCCAGGGACACTTGTCATGCCTCATTTCTACCTTCTTTTCTTTTTTTTTTTTAGATGATTTTTGGGGAATTGGGGAAGGGAACAGCCAAGTTGTTGTCCTTCAATCTTAGTTGTGGAGGGCGCAGCTAGCTCAACTCCAAGTCCAGTCGCCATCTAGTCACCTGTCGGCAGCTCGCAGCTGTTCAGCTCAAGGTGCCATGTTCAATTTTAGTTGCAGGTGGGCATAGCCCACCATCCCATGTGGGAGTCGAACCGGAAACCTTGTTGCTAAAAGCACAGGCTCTTATCAGCTGAGCCATCATACCACCTGTTGGCAGCTCAGCGGCAGCTCAGCTCAGGTGCAGCTCAGCTCAGGCGCAGCTCACTGGCCCATGTGGGAATCGAATCCTTGACCCTGTTGCTCAGAGCTCGTGCCCTTAACCAACTGAGCCATTCAGCGGCTTCTACCTTTCCTTTTCCATTGTCATTTCTAATCTGGTCCCTGGCTGTCTCCACTTTTGTGGCCTTCACCTTTCATCTATTCGCTCTACTGCTCTTTTTGCAGTGCCCTGGACATTTGACCTACACTTAAGGTGTAGTGATGTCTGCACATATCCTTAAATAGCCCTTGAACACCAGCTATTGCATCGCAATCAGACATTCCTGGGTCTGGATACCACCTGCTACACAGTGCTCACCAGTCACCAGCAGCCACACCTTGTTGAAAGTCATTTGCAGAGGAGTGACATGGAGACCTACCTCTGCTCCCTGCGCTGTATCCCTTCCTTGGGTCCTTCCTCATCATCAGGGCTCTCCAATCCAGCTCTACACAGCAGGCCTTCCTCTCCCTGGCTCTAGCTGCCTTTCCTGTCAGTCCCATGGGCTTACTTGTGGTGTGTCTGACACTCATTTGTCATGGGGCTGCCCCCTCCCACCATAGTCAACGTGCACTTCACTGGCATTTCTCTGCTTACAGGCTGTTGGCATGGAGCCCAGGACGAGGAGGCCCCTTCTGAGGAAAGTGTTTCTGTGGGAGAGTCACAGGTCAGGACTCCAAAGCCAGATCCGTCCACCCACAAGGCCCAGCCCTGTGATACATGTAGCTCCCCCTTGAAAGACATTTTGTCCCTAGGTGAGCAGGATGGAACACACCCTGATCAANCTATCTGGGAGCTTTTCTTACTGTCCCGACCGAACCTCATAAAAAAACGACTCCAAAGCGTCTTTGACCAACAAGATAGCTGACAGCGATGAGGGGACGCCGAGTAGCATTACGGTGTGGTGTGTGTCCCTTTCTATGTGCAGCCTTTGGAAATTGGCTGCGATTCCCGGAGTCTGAAACAGTAAGTCTCTAAACATTTCTGTGACGTGTCCTGCACTGAACTCCAAGGAAATCTGGGTGTAACCCCTTTAAGGGCCAGCGAAGGCCCGACCCGTTTGGACACAGGAACTCCATTTCCCAGCGCCTCTCATGGCGCTTAGCCTGTATCCACAATCAGAAGCTACCTGCGTTCTGAAACGGAGCGGATAACGGCGTGGAAACTACGTTACCCAGAAGGCAGTGCGGCGCGACGGCGACGGACCAATGAGGGCTCAGCGGAGAGACGTCTCCGTGCGTTCTGAACGCGAGGGGCGGGGCTTCAGCGGCCTTTTTGTTACGCCGGGCTATTTGGTTGCTCTGGGTTCTGTTCGCAGCTTCTGAGTGTCGTCAGTACTGAGGTGAATGGAAAGTGCGAGAGGCGTGGTCCCCGCTTCACGGAGGCGGCTGTGAGGCGCGACTGAGCCCGTCGGTAACGGTGGCGCCCTATTCCCCCACCGTCGCCCCGCTCCGGTTTCGCTTTTCCCATAGGTCGGTGGCGGGGGCACACCGATGAGCCGGATTCAGGTGGGTGCTGCGGCCCCCAGGCCTCACCCCGCCCGGCTCCCACCTACGAGAGCGAAGCTTGGGTGGAGGGGCACCGCTTGGTTCCCTGCAGTCAGGCCCCCGTGTCCGCCGTGTGATGAGGTAGGGGGGGGTTCCCTCATGGGCGATCTGTGTACAGGCTGCAGGTGCTGGTGAGTCGGCAGCACTGGGGAGACCTGGGGTCAGTGTGCCCAAGGGACACGGCCAGGCGTGTCACCTGGAGTGGCGACCTGAGCTTCTGAGTGAGGAGGGGCATGCCCAGAGCTAAGTTTAAAGTGGGTGAAAACAAGACTGGGAATGGAGGCCTGTGAGGTCACAGCAATAGAGCTCAGGTGGTGGAGGGGATTGGGGGGGAAGGGGAGTTGGATCAGGGCGGTGGCGGTGACATTCTGGATTGATTTCAATGGAGCATAAAGGATTTCCTTATGCATCATACATATCTGTGAGCAAAAGTAGGAAGTGAGCCACCATCCTAAGTTTTTTAAAAATCTATTTTACTTTGTTTTTGCCTGAACATCAGAAAGTATATGGGAGAGCACAGGAAACAGGTTTCAGGGAGATCATGAGTTGGATTTTGGACATGTGATCTATGTCAATCATAAGGTGGATCTAAGATGTCACAATGTGGAAACATCATATGAGTATGTGGACATAGAGGTCTGGAGACCTGGAAAGGGAGCTGGGCTGGAGCTATCCAGGAGGTGAAGGGTGTTGGACTGGACCAGGGCAGGCCTGGTTATCAGATTGAGGAGAGAGCATCTTAAGGTCATTATTTTTGATGGGCCCCATAGTGAGTGTCAGGATGACTGAGACAGAGTGCAGGGCGTTAGGGTTTCAGCTTCCCTGATGCTCCTTCAAGGAGCATATCTGGCATACGAGGTATTCTGGCCTGTGTCTGTAGAAAAGGATGTGTGGATGTGGTAACTTGATGGCCTGTAAGGTAGACTCAGCTCTGCAGATTAGCTGACTGTT